GAGGCTCTCCTCCAGATCCTGGGCCACAAAGAGCCTCTCAGGTTTAGTCTCTGACTAATAAACCTGCTTGTTCTGTTGAGGTGGGTTCCTTCATCTCTTTTTCTATTTCTTTACAGTATGTAAACGGCCCTGTGATTCATAAAAAGTCACAGGAAGCCTTCCCCTTCCTCTCTTGGAGCTTGCCACAGACTGTTTCTGGTATCATTCTAAGCTCCTTTGTTTGTTTCCCTTGATAACTGATTTCCTTTCCTGTAACTGTTATGTGTGCATCTCGTATAATTAGTTGCTGGAGTTTGGAGGTCACAGACAGACATACCAGAGATGAACTATTATGACAGTTAGTTGAGTTATCTCTGCAGGTCGTATTTATATTGCCACAAACACAAACAACATTAGCAAAAGTTGTATGAAGGAAAGCATTTTTGTTTTTGCACCGACCTGTATAACTGTTAACTACCTGCATTGCATTATTACACTGGGGGTGGGCCATCTTTACATGCTGGATATCAAACCACTGAGAACGGGTTACATTGGGTACGATCTGGAATGAAACAACCATTATCAGAAGCCTCAGCAGGAGGAGGAGACAGAGTCTGGACCCGGGCAGCTTAGGACCCATGTTTCCTGTGGGAACAGAAATAACTCCTCCCATCCCTGTGTTGTTCCCTGTCTCTTCCCATAGGTCCTCCGCTGTTGCTGTGGGGTCATATCTGCAATTCACTTCCTGTCTGCAAAGTGTACTCAAATCAGCTCAGCCCCCCCTTAAGCACTCCCCCATCTTTGCCCCTCCTGTCCCAGTTCTAGGGCTTGGTGTCTTACCCGGTGTCTTACTCAGTGTCTCTATATTTTGGCTCCTGTGAGAACATGCAGCTGGTTGTCCTGGGGCTCAGGCTAGTGTTTGCACTCCTCTTGGGCCTAGAGATACAGAGCAGGCCCGGTGGGTGGAGCTGACAGAGCAGGTGGCTCTGAGTCCTGGCCATGCAGAACCCTGCGGATCGGTACATTGTCTGCTTGTGCAACCAGCCTTCTTGTTTCTCCACTTGGTCAACAAACAGACACCTTCAGATACTGAGAGACCAGAGTTCATAAAGCATGGCTAGTTGTCAGAAGAAACAGCACCGTGGAGGGCTCAAGAGATATTTATATTCCCATAGCTCATCTTAAAATCATATGATGTTGAGGACTGGAGAGGTAGCTCAGCAGTTAAGAGCATTTGCTGCTCTTCCAGAAGACCTGAGTTTGGCTCCCAGCATCAACACTGGGTGGTTACAACAATCTATAAATCTAGCTCCAGATGATTTAATGCTCTGCTATGGTCTCTGCAGGTACCCACACCTATGACATACGTAGATACCTATACACACACACACACACACACACACACACACACACACACACATACACACACACACCTTGAAAATCATATTTTGGTAGGTGCACCAAGTCTTCATTTTAAAGTATGCCTTTAAAGCAAGTGAGTGGAAATATAGTCCCACAGTGACAGTAGAGGGCATGTAGGAAAACTGAGCTTTAGCAGACTCTCCTGAAAAAGGGACCAACTCAGGGGTCTTCAGTGAATCCACGTCTCTCTCCTTATTCTAGTTTTATCTCTTTGTGTGGTGATGTCATTACCTTTCAGATGGAGACCTTTGTGTTCATGATTATCAGACTTTTATACCAGACCTGCTCAGCTTGTGCTTATACTTTGAAATAGCACTCAAGGGCTGGAGAGATGGTTCAGCGATTAGGAGTGTTTCTTGTTCTTCTAGAAGACTTAACGTTCAGTTCCCAGCACCCACATCAGGCAGCTCAAAACTGCATGTAACTCTTCTAGTCCTTGAGGGGCCATACACATGACCAGATTCACATCCCCATATGTGTGGCATACATTCACACAAATATACACGAAAAATAAAAATCTTTAAAATTGTATTTAAGGCATGCCTCATAATATTTCTCTGATTGTTTCTTGTATAAATGTCCTGTGTACATTTCAAACACATTTGCCTCCAGAACGTGTGCAAATGGTTTAGCTTTACACTGAGGACATTTAGGAGAAGACCTTGCTTTCTATAATACTTGAATAATATAACACAGTGTTAGAACACACTAAACTTTAACTTTGGTTTTTTTGTTTGTGCTTGTTTTTGTGCTGGAGAGTGAACTCAGGACCCTGTGCCTGCTAGGTAAATGCTCTGCCATTGAGCTACATGCCCAGTAACACATGAACATGATTTCTGTCTTCAATAGAATGAATCTTTTCACAGGGCCCTTATTCTTTTAATAGCAAAACCTCCCTTGCAGCCCAATTTAGAGGCTCATTTATAGACACAGCTTATACTTCTGTTAAGTACAGCCAGAATCATGCCCTAGTATTAATATTTTAACTTGATAAATGTTATAAGGTGTTATCTCAGGAGATTCTTCTCTATTTCTCTCAAAAGCACTGTTGAGTATATTGCTGTCCAAGTTAACAGAGGTCTAGTTTAGAGTTCCCTGACAAGAATAAGTGTCCAATGCCTACAATTTCTTCAGCCCCAGGGTCAGTTTGCAATGTCTGCTTTTAGCCTGTTGACTGAGAGTTAGCTAGGATTAGCACCTTCTGGACATAATGTCCCCTAGTGCAATGACTGTCTATGGCCATGACAGTACACAGCATTTATAGAATGGTAATTATATCCCAGTTGTTCGGAATTAGATCTTCGTGGTGTGTTGGGGAGTATTAAGACAGGATCTCACTATCTAGCCCAGGATTGTCTTGAACTTGCTTAGATTTGGTTCAAACTTGCAATCTCCTGCCTCAGCCTCCCAAGTTCTGGGATTATAGGCATGTACTACCACACCCAGTTTATGAATTGGATCTTAAATGTCTCTGGAAGGCTCCTGTAATAAATGTTTGACCTCCAACCTGTGTTGTTACTTGTGGGTGGGAACCTTTGGGAGGCAGGACCCAATGGGAAGAGGTTAGGATGTTGTAGGTGACTCTGCTTCTTTCTGCCGTGAACTGACCAGCTTTGTTCCACCACGTTTTCCGCTATGGTATTTTGCATTACCACAGACCCCCTAAACAAGGGAACCAGCTGACCACGGACTGCCATCTTTGAAAGTATAAGCCAAATTAAATCTTTGCTACTTAAGCCTTTATCTCAGGCATTTTATCAAACAATAGAAAGGTGATTGTCCCAATTAATTTAACCATGGCAAAAAGAATGAGATTTAATTTCAAAAACTCAAAGAACATTTTGGTTGCATTGGGCTCCTTTTTCAGGGCTGTTTTCTAGAGCTGTTGTGGGCTTCCTACATATTTCCTCTGATGGCTACTGAACAAAAGCTGAGCTTGAACCTCTTGATCAGTTTCTGGAACGACAGGTAAGCACTGAGCTTCAGGGTGACCTCGCACAGAGCTAAGTTGATGGGTCACTTGTGTCTTTAAGGGGCCCTGCATATTATAGCATCACCTTTGTGTGCGCAGGTGCCTGCAGAGCCACATCGAGCATATAACTTCCAGCAGACCCTATGGAGCTCTGCCTCATCCATCATTTCACACTTACTGTGGATGATCAGAACCACCTCTTCTGCTGTAATCCAGGAGAACAAGTGGATTCTGGGAAATATGATTGGTGCCACTACAGGTAGTCTTGTGGTACTCATTGAGAGAGTGCTCATGGATCCCATGTAGCAGTCACGCATAGACAGGACAGTAGGATACCCTGGCCCCAGCCTCGTAGCCCCTTTGGTTGGGATTTTAATGGAGATTACATTGATATAGGTTAATTACATCAAAAAGTATCTAAGCAGTGAATCTTCCATTCAATAAATGTGCAATATTTATTTATTAGGCTTTCTTTAATGTCTCACAGTAAAGTTTTACCTTTTCTTTATAAAGTTCTTATATGTTTATTAGAATTCCTCTTGTGAACGTAATGTTTTAATAGTGTTATAAGTTGTATCTGTGTAAAATTTCAGTTTCTAATGTTGTGTTGGATCTCAGAAAACACTACCCTAATATTCTTCTTTAACATATTGATTGTTAGCCATTTATCTTAAGGAACTGCAGATAAAAGAGTAGCTCTGGAAAGCTGCCCTTTTGTAAAAGAAATGTATATCTATAAAGGATATTTCCACTCACAAATATATCTATATCAGGGAGACACTGTCCTAGACAACCTTTACCATCTGAGAGATGCATCTGCACAAGACAACCATTACTCACTTTGCATTTCCTCCTGTAACTGTCTCCAACCCTCAAGTTCCTTTTCCTTTCTGTAGCTCAGGATGTTGCACGTGTTGCAATTATCCGTCTCTTTGAGTTCCATATTTCTGTGAGATTCTTACGTATACTTGCATAGGTCAACACAAGAAACACAACTCTCACCTCAGAAGGAATAGGAGATGGTTTATTTTGGAGTCAAATATGAGTGGTCATGGCCAGGGCACACCGATTTATGTTATTCCAAATCCCATGTTCCAAAGTGGTAACAATTTCATGAAGTTTCTACAGTAAGAGACAGAACAAAGAAAGTCATAAATCAAGACACTTCTGAAATACATCGGTGGGGATGAGGTAGGATAGAAGATAGGGCTCTATGTGCCATGCGGAGGGGAGTTGAAGAGGGGAGGCTCTGCTTCTGAGACCTCATCTGCGTTTGCTGCTGAGAAAGACAGGAGACTTCAGAATCCTCTGATGAGAATCTAATTGCCCGCGGAGATAATATGTGTTTTCCAAAGGATATCTTCTTTGATTGGGAACGAGACAGTGTTCACTTGGGGTCAGATGGTGCATTCCCAGAAATACCATGTGAATGAAAGTTTCCAGAAAAACTGCATCTTACAACTCAACCCTCTGCAAAGGCTGATCGACTGGTTAGAACTTCAGTAATTGTGGTGTGTTTGGAATGTTGCAGGTCCAGAGCCCAGTTACCATTATCTTGGACCATCTTTAGCTCCCTAAATAGCCACTCCTTGCCCACCTTTGTTTCTGACTTAACATCCTGTGACTACCAGATAAAAATCCTTTTGGAATATATTAACTTAGCAGACCACCGGCTTCCACCAACTGAAAGGCTGAGAGCCATCCAGTGGCATCTGAGCTGCAGCTGAGATGTCTCTTCTGCTGTCTCTGTCTATTGATAGCGTCCACCAAGGTATGTAAGAAGTACCTTGATTTATGACTTTTCTTTGTTCTGTTACCATAAAAAGTTCATCAAACTGCTTCCACGTTGGAACATGGAATTTGGGATAACCTGAATCTATGTTCCCAGGCCACGGTCAGTCATATTTGGTTCCAGAATAAACTTGCTCTTACCCCCTTTAAGGTGAGAGTTATGCTTTTGCATTGACAACCTCAGTCAAGGGTGTCAAGGTCAGTAACCAGGTTGTGCTTACTAAGTGCTGCTAGCACTCCTCTCCCCTAGACCTAGATGATTCCACTTATAATGCAATCTTGCAACTTTATTTACCAAGAAAAATTCTTTAACTTTTAACCTTATTACAAATTACATTTTGAACAATGTTAGAAAGAAAGGGGAGAGGTTGCTTAGCAACCTTTAGAGAAGCAACTTGAGAGCTGCCAAAACCCTTTTTTTTTTTTTTGGTCTTCCTGTAGCCACCGCTGGCCTA